ATAGGATATTAAAGTATTTTGATATTTATGCGTTTAGGTTTAATATGGAAGAAGATCGACCTTCTTCCAAGAAAGTAAGAAGAACGTTGTTGTCTTTCTAAATTTTTCTCTTGTTATATATAACTTTTATTCGTACAGTAAATTTTAAAAATTTTAGCCCACCGTATCTGTCATTCCTGGCTCCGCCCCTGGTGACAGTAGTACTATTATAGCATCATCTAATCAGATCAACCCACGGATTGACCCTGCAACAATTAAATTCAGGCACAGAATTGGAAGAGGGCCTTTTGGTGATGTTTGGCTTGCAACTCATCATAGCAATACTGAACACTACAAGGAGTATCATGAAGTGGCCATTAAAATGTTACATCCTGTAAAAGAAGATAACATTAGAGATGTCTTGAAGATAACATTAGAGATGTCATGAGATAGCATTGAGTTGGATAATTTGCTTTCCAGGTGTCAAGGGTTAGAAAACATTTGTTGGCTGCATAGACTTTCCATTATTAGTAAGAGAGTGAGTTCTCTGTTCAAAGTCTTGTTTTTAATTTTAAAAAATTTACTAGGTTTCCATTTGTCTCAAGTAAGGGAAAAAGATGCAATAACTGCTCTATATTTGTTTCCTTCTAGATTTGCATTGTTATGAAATTTTACAAGGGCTCGGTTGGTGACAAAATGGCTCGATACAAAGGGGGGAAATTGCCACTGAGTGATGTTCTGAGGTGAATTTGCTCATCTCATATTCTTGGACTTTAACGCTAATAAAAAAAACTATTGCATTAGAAGCACACAATCTTCACGTTTTTTAGTTATGGTTGTCTACAGGTACGGAGCAGATCTTGCTCAAGGAATAATGGACCTTCATGCAAAAGACATCCTTATTCTCAACCTTAAACCTTGTAATTTCCTTTTGAACGAGAATGACAGGCAATTCTTGGGGACATTGGAATTCCTCATGTGCTTCTTGGGGTTTCACTAACAAATACAGAGATGACTTGAAGACTTGGTACTCCTAACTACATGGCTCCAGAACAATGGGAACCCGAAATAAGAGGTCCAATATCGTTCGAGACTGATTCATGGGGATTTGGTTACAGCATTGTGGAGATGTTGACTGGCATTCTTCCATGGAGTGGTAAATCAGTCATAATTTGGTTGTAAAGAAACAAGAAAAGCCACATATTCCTAGTGGCCTCCCTCCAGCCGTGGAAAATGTCGTTATTGGTTGTTTTGAGTATGACTTCAGGAGTCGCCCTCTAATGGCAGACATATGACATGCATTTAAGTATTCGTTTTATTTATTATATTTTTTTGTTGACAAATTTTTTTGTGAAGAGGGGGATCTAAAGCACTTGCACTCAATGTGTCTGGGAACATTTTGGTAACACTTTTTAAAGCACGCACAGTTTGCTAAAGGTCGTTCTCAACTAGGATCTTGCGGTTGTTGCACCTACCTTGCGGTGTCTCGAATTATATTGATTCTCTCCAAATAAATATGAGATGATGTTTTATTGAATGGAGCATGCATACAATAATGGAAATGATGATCTACTACGAATTTGTTTATTTATCCAAATTAAAAATTTTGCTGAAAATTATTTAGAAATGATGCGTATAATCTATTAATCACAACGCATACTATTGCAATTTCTTATTAGGAGCACATTTGTTCTGCTTCTGCAGTAGGTTCCTGATACTGGAAAGGGTATTCAGGCTTCAAGAGGCGATGCCTTTATTTTTAGCTGACTTTACTTTTAGTACGTTTGCAGTTTACAAAATGCAGTTTACCAGGATGGAGGCTGGATGGGACTTGGAAGCAGAATGATTAGGGAGAAACCAGGTGGTAGTGGTTATACCGAGTGGTTCCTTGCAAAGGACCATCTCCAAGTAGGCGACATGGTGCGATCTAGGAAATCACCGGACTCTTGCAACCCAGAAAACATGGATGTCCCGAAGGGGGCTGTAGTTGGTCTGGAACGTGACACTGATCAGGATGGATTTGTGTTAGTGAGGATACATGGAATTCACGACCCGATAAGAGTTCATGTTTCTACATTAGAGCGTGTCACGTTTGGATTGGCTGCGTGAGATTGGGTTCGTCTGAAGAAAGAAGACAGAAAGCATTCGCCTGTGGGTGGTCTTCATTCGATTACCCGTGATGGAAGTGTGGCTGTAACATTTATAGGACTGGAGACTCTTTGGAAGGGCAGCTACTCAGAGTTCCAGATGGCAAAACCTTACTGTGTAGGGCAGTTCATTACGCTGAACTCAAACGTCTTTAGCCCTCGATTTGAATGGCCTCGAAAAAGAGGTGGCGAGTGGGCAACCGGAAGAATTTGTCAGGTGCTACCAAACGGCTGCCTTATTGTCAAGTTCCCAGCCAGATTAATATTTGGCGATGAAAACAGCAGTTCTTGGCTGATCCGGCTGAAGGGGAACTAGTATCGTTTGACACTTGCCCCGGAATGGTGAAGAAGTATCAACATCTCGAGGATTTCCATTGGGCCGTCAGGCCACTATCAATCGCATTGGGCGTATTTACGTCCATGAAGTTTGGCCTTTTCATTGGGAGGAAAATTGGGAGATCAAAGAATAGAAAGGGACTGAATCATGACATCCAAAATGGTCAAAATGCAGATGGCTCGACTGCTGGCAACACTTAATGGCGTGCTCCAAAAGTAGGAAATATTTTCAGATAAGGTGCCTACCCACAGGTAACTACTTGTGCATGCTTGTAAACTTACTGTTAGTCATGCTAAAGATCATCAAGAAACTTCTCTCAAGTTGGGAAAGCTGCACTCTCTTATCCAGTTGTAAACTTACATTATTGAAAGCATATAATAATAACGTTTCCAAACATTTTTGACAACAGCCAACTTGCTTTTATTATTGAAGACGCAGATTCTTTCTAGTCATCTTGTTTGATTGAAGAAAATGCTTTATTTACAAACAGCGTCGTACAAGACATGAAATGAGTAGAAGCACTAATTATGCTCCTCTAGGTCTCAAAAGAAATATTGACATGAACTGGTTTCAATATTTAAGATACACTACTTCATCTGGTCAAATGCAATTCAATAATTGACAGCCACGCGTACAATGTTCTGTCTCTTCTAACTTCATTCAAATATGTCACCCTTGCGGATGAAATTTTCACTATATCTATGCAAGACATGTACTAGATACAACACACGGTTTCAACCAAAGATGAAAAAATAACTAAGTGCTCGGGTTGGCTTCACTTGTACAGAACATAAAACAGAAAAACAGTTCGAAGAATTGTATGCGAGGGACTGTGAAGTATAATAGGGAAAAATGTCACACCAGATCACAACTCTCTACAACAAAGATTCATTCTTCATATCCATTTATGGTGATTAAGAGGTATAGTAACTATAGACCTGCTAGATTTACAAAATTCACTACAATATTATCATTGTGAAACCTCATTTTGTACATTTACATCTGAAGGGGGATCGCAATCACCTTTCTCAAGTGATTTTTTCAACTGAAGAGCATAAAGAATAGTGGAATTCACCTGTTTTCTCAATACACCATTATCGACTAAGAAGGTTGTCAACATCCTCGTCAGCTCTTCATCCACTGAGCTCGTGCTATCATCCAGATTAGTATCTCCATTAATAGTTGAAGACGAGTAATCTGCATTCTCAGTTAAATGCTGCGCCTAAAGAATTTACAAAGCAAGGTAAGCAACTTGAGCTGGAGAGACAAATCCCACAAAAAAAAAAAAAAATCACTTAATGCATGATGTTTTGTAAGGAGTATTAGAATGTACAAGACAATGCATATAGAGATTTAAACTTTCTTGTCTATTAGTGTCCAATGTTATCTAATCCATCTTAACAAACATGTCATTATTATCTTTGGAGGCTGCTGAAACAGAATACTAAATCCAACCCCCACCTTTTAATGGTAAATATAGAATTTAACCCAGAGGAGTATTCAACTCATTCATGAACAAGAGGGATGATAACAATCCACATAGGGTTGGCAACGGTGCGGGGATAGGGGTGGACCACCCTGTCCCCACCCTGATTTATATACTTTATTTTATTTTTTATCTTCACTTTATATTCTCGGCTATTTTGGGAGTTGGGCTAATGAGCATGGGTAATCAGTTCGGATTTGAGCATAAAAAAGTTGCGCTAGAGTGAATTTAAACAAAATTTGACAATTGGGGTCCATATCACCGACCCGTTGCCCTGTCAGGCGGGGGGCAACACAGGGTTCGAGTTTGGCGGTTCAAATTGCTATCCCTAGATCCACAATAGAGGGACACTGGAGCAACCAATCTAAATCCGGGAGAACTATACACAATCTACACACAATGTTAATTGTATCAACTAGTGAAAAACCAGAATAGTTATGAGGAAATTATATTTTGCGTTTCTGCTTTCAGTTTTAACAGTTTTGCCCTTCCCTTCAGAAGTTTTGGCATTTCTTCTACGCTAAATGCAAAACAGAGTCAAAATTTCAAGATCCATAATTCCCGTTCTCTTAACCAAATGTATTAAATAATTTTTTTTTCCAACGATACACAGAAAATATGAGGCATTTAAATCTTAATGACATTTTAAGGTGGAAGTGTGAGATTGTGCGATAGCACTAACATAAATAATAGAAGAATTAACAGTTCAAAATTCCAGGAGTACCTCTTCAATCAGAAGGCCAATATGATTGTCAGATGTGGCTACAGGATCTAAAGCGTTCAACTCTGATGGAATATCCATGACTAGATTATCTTCTGTTTTATGTATTAAATAAACCTGGCATTCCTGCAGCTGATTGTGAAGAATCTTGCACTTGTGTAGCAGCTTCCTCCAAGAGGTTCTTGCTTGCTCAGTTCTCTCTCTCTCTTTTTGAAGGAGTTCCTGAACTTGCACAAGTTTAAAAATACAAGATTAGTTTCTCGAGTGACATTACACTCATGCATATGTTTCTATGATCCATCCAATAAAACTGAAAAAAGGTAATATCTGCACCTGTGGGTATACAGTGACTTAATAGAATTAATAAATTAATGAGTCTTTGATTTTCTAGACAGTTTTATCATTTCCCCTCAATAGAGTTTTCACATTGTAGGCACAATTAACTCATGATTTATTGTAGACGCTTCAAGAAGACAGTAAATGAAAGATAAAAAAAAAAGTGAATAACGGCACAAGAAGCTCAGAGGCAGCACAAATATTGCAACTTCAGCAAGTTATAGGATCTTGAACTCTGCAGAATTGTAGTTAGACAGACAAGAAGAAGAATTCCACACTTTAAAATAAAGCAGCTAATTTATACCTCAGCCTCAGATTTTTCATTAAGCGATTGACTAAGTCGCTGCTTCAATTCTACTTGAGAACTTCTTAGAGATTTAACTTCTTTTACAAGAACTTTAATATCAGCTTTTGACTTCACTTCCAGTTCTTGATGTCGCTTCTTCAATTCTTCTAGCTGTTGCTTTGTGGAATCCAAGTCCTGCTGCATTGCATCTTTCTCTGGACTGACAGATATTGTATCTAGTTTTTGGCCCTGGAAAGAGTTCCATATTGATCTGAAATCATTCAGACTGAAATAATACTTTAATGATATAAGATGTGCATTAGATAGTGTGTGGAAAAAAGCACATATAGATAACCTGTTGAGAGTTCAACTTCAACTCCATTTCCATTGATCTACGCCGAAGTTCTTCCATGTCCCATTGCATTTGGGTGACTCTTTCCCTTTCAATCAAGATAGCTTGTTCAAGATTCTCTTTACTTTTTTGTTTAGTAGTTTCAAGGTCCCCTTCCAAATCCTTCACCTGGAGAGACAGTTAAAAAGCCAGCTTCATATTTAGCTGCAACCATAAGATTATGCAGAATCATACAAGTATTGGCAGAAAAAGGTTTCGTGTGTAGAGGAAATTGTATTCTCCAAATCAATAAATGGGCTTACATCAATGCTGAAAATAATAATTATAAATATCTATGTTAATAGCCATGCCCAAAATTTTTGAGCCATACCAGACAGTCCGGTCCAGATTTAACAAGAATGGTTACCACTAGGCACCAAATATTTGTCAAATTTGAGAAGTAAATCTTTATAATTATTCATACCAAATGGAACAAAATCCATGTATACCAAAATCAGTTTGCTTAAAACACAGTCAAACCATAACAAAATTTACCTATTATTGGCTGAAATCCAAGAAATTACTGCCGAAAATATTTCCCAATTTATGTGCTCAGCAACTAAATGTATGGGCTCAAGACTTAATCTTAATTATACTTGCATATAGCCAACTAATCTCTAAGTCCCACTGTCTTCCCCCCATGTCGGTCATCTTTCCGGAGCAGAACTGTAGTTAAAGCTCATCCTTGAAGGAAGTGACTTGTTTGCATTTAATTTTTCACCAAAGGAAGAGGATAGCACCATTACATTTTTTGGCCCCATACCTTACATCTAGCATTTCCCAGAACTGCAATTTCAATTTGTTTTTCCTATAATTTCTGGACTTCATACCTTACATCCAGCGTTTCCTGAACTGCAATTTTAATTCGTGTTTCCTATACTTTCCTACATTCTGCACTAAAAGTTATCTCATCTTTTCTTTGGACCAATTCTTTATATTCTTCTAATTCTTTTCTTGGTTAAGATAAAATCTTTTACATGATTAGCTTTGTTTTTCAAGTTTTATACATACCAGAAAATATATCCATTCTCAACAACAGTCCCAAGCATGAATTTGAAATAACAATGAAATGAAATAGCAACAAGATAATAGCTATAGTGTTCCACTACCTTTGTTGCAAGATAGTCTTTCACAGCAATTTCTTGATTTAACCGTGATATGAGATCCTCCATGTCAGTTTTGGCAGCGACCAGCCTCCGTTGCATTAATGTAACTACCCTGTTCATTTTCTGGCGCTGATCCATTGGGAGAACCAGTTGTACATCATCTGGAAGCTGAAAATCTGTGTTTCCAAGAGTTCCAATGTTTCTCGAGGCCTCAGCCCCACTGTAAATGTCAATAGGCGCGTACCCATTTGAAATAGAAATTGCTGAATTTGACAATGTGCTGCCCCTTTGAGAACTCCTGTCACTTCCAATACTCTCGCTTGAGACCTTTCGAGTATGAAGACCAACTGTACCATGCTCTTGTTCTGAAAGAAGTTCCAACCTATCCCCAGTTTGATGAGAGATTTTAGAAGGACCACCATTGCTATTATTGTTCTCCACATTACTATGAATCTCTTTGGCATACAGTTTATGCTTTGGAAGACCTTCAAGCTGCTCTAAAATAGCCTGTCCCATAGACAAACCCTCATCGATATTCGACATGCCATACTTAACAAACTTATCTATCGGACTTGTTAAGTCGTCATCCAGTGATAGATCCTCTGTCCCAACTTCAGAGTTATCCCTCCCAAGGCTTAGTGTTCCAATCTCAGACGTCTCGTAAGCAGTATCACTACCATAATCTGATGTCAGTGCTGAACTACCAGCTACCACAGACAAGCTCGAATTTGGATGAAACTGAAGTGGCGGGACTGTTGTAGTCACTGTAATACTTGAATCTGGACTATTCTGGCCATCTTTTTGGAATGCTTAAAAAGAATCGTAACAAGGAGAATTTAGGATGGCAAAATAAAGGTCAATAAAATGATAAAACTCAAGATCAATGTGTTAACTGAAGTCAGATGACCAATAATAGCGTGTAGAATGATTTTTAGAGCAAAACATGTGCAATGCCAACACACATACATGATCTAGCAGCAGCTTCCAGTTCAAGGAAGGATGCGACTGCAGTACTTCTTGATAAGTCAATGTCCGATAGCAACCTTGCCATCCAATCCTCCAAAGAATTCCGTCTCTGCAACAGAAGTAAGCGTTTGGATAACCTCAAGTGTCAAAAAAAATCTGAGAAGCATAAATATGACTGCCAAGTATACAAACTCTATGCATCAGATGAATTGCAAAATTCTCTAATAGATAAAAGAAACAAAACAAGACGAATTGTAGTTCTTATAAGTTAAAATCAAGTCAATATTCTGAAGGGATCGGATTGCACATCAACACAACCGCCAATGGCCATAATCAAGCTGAGAGTGAGATATTGTATAACTAGAGAAAGCATTAGATGTGGAGCTCTCCTTATCCATGTTCAGAAAAAGCTTTTCTAAGAGACATTACACCAGAAGCCAATTACAAGGTCTTCAATCTATGAGATATCAAACACAAAATGTTAAATAATCTTGTTACCTCTTCCAACATTGCTCTAGTTTTCATTCGCAAGAATCCCTTTGGGGGGGCTGGCGGAAGGTTCTTACGTGGAAATGCTCTTTTAAGCTGTAAGAGAAAGTGCACAATGATATGACACGTCATCAATTTTTTTGGAACTTCCATAATACAATAAACATGCATGCATAGTCAATTTCTTAACACTTATATCACTTTACGTGTTCCTTCTATGAACACTGAGTTAATGAAAAAGATTGGGATACTCACTGCAGCATGCAGCTTCAAGAAATCATTAAATCTTCTTAATACAGTTCTTGTGGTTGTAACCCCTGCCGGTGATTGTATGCCGACCATTACCCTGTAAAACTGCCTCTTTAAGAATGTTAGATGGAGGAAACTATTTCATAAAGTAAAGTAAAATTGCAAGAAGATAAAAAGAAAGGTTTATTGACAATTTAAAGAAGAGAAACAGCTCTTCAGGGATAGGGCCAGGGTCACCCATTTTATAGTCAATAACTATATAAGGAAAAGTTGAAACAATTTTCACCCCCTCGCGTAGAAGAGATGCTAGAAAGCATCAACTCGTCAAGTTTTTAGTACTTAAATTACTACTGAAATGGACATTCTCAGGAAATCAATGTGCTCACAAGTAACCAGACTCAATCCTATATAAGATTCCTAATTCATCTCCAACTCTCAAGGCAAATGGAAATCCTAACCAGAGTTTAGCACCGAACAGTATAGAACTCTTTCCAAAAGATCAATTTTCCATTCCAAGAGAATCAAAAGAACTTGATTAACAAATAAAGTCGTGAAACTAACAACAAAGCGGAAGCCACTTTTAAATTCAGCAAGTAATCCTTCAATTACTCTTGTCATTTACGCATGCAGCTATTTAGCAGTCCTCGCGCCATAAGAATAAAATAAGGGTAACAGCACATAGTGATAGACTGCAGAAACAGATTATTGAACCAAGAAGTGAAAATATTATCTCCATCCTGTTCACATGTTGCAATGCGAGCAACAACCACTAGATTATCTCACTTTAAACTAGTAAGGTATGTAAATAGAATCTAAATAAATAGTTCTAAGTGATTCAAGACAATTGGTTAAACTCTACATTTTACTTTGCCAAATTAGAAATAAATATGAATCTATATAGAAATCATAGAGAAAAGAAGTGCAACCTAAGATCAAAACTTCCAGGGGGTCCAACTAAGGTATCAGGCATAAACATTTAAGGAAAAGCTCCCATTCTCTAGACCAGAGTCATTTACATATAGGGTTCTATACTTGGTGGTAAGAACATGTAGCCAATATGATGAAATATAGTGCCATAAAAGCATCCACAACATCCAGAAATGCAGATATAATGAAGTACTGAAGAATGCTCATTCTATAGCAATTGACTCGCTTCTATCACGTGTTCCATACTCAGTAATAGGGGCCATAATGCCTACAGTGATATAATATGCCAAGTAAGTAGCTAACATATAATGAACCTATCATAGTATAAGAAAAGACATTCAANAACTCTCAAGGCAAATGGAAATCCAAACCAGAGTTTAGCATCGAAGAGTATAGAACTCTTTCCAAAAGATCAATTTTCCATTCCAAGAGAATCAAAAGAACTTGATTAACAAATAAAGCCATGAAACTAACAACAAAGGGGAAGCCACTTTTAAATTCAGCAAGTAATCCTTCAATTACTCTTGTCATTTACGCATGCAGCTATTTAGCAGTCCTCACGTCATAAGAATAAAATAATGGTAACAACACATAGTGATAGACTGCAGAAATAGATTATAGAACCAAGAAGTGAAAATATTATCTCCATCCAGTTCACATGTTGCAATGCGTGCAACAACCACTAGATTATCTCACTTTAAACTAGTAAGGTATGTAAATAAAATCTAAATAAATAGTTCTAAGTGATTCAAGACAATTGGTTAAACTCTGCATTTTACTTTGCCAAATTAGAAATAAATATGAATCAATATAGAAATCATAGAGAATAAGACAATTGGTTAAACTCTGCATTTTACTTTGCCAAATTAGAAATATATATGAATCAATATAGATATCATAGAGAAAAGAAGTGCAACCTAAGATCAAAACTTCCAGGGGGTCCAACTAAGGTATCAGGCATAAACATTTAAGGAAAAGCTCCCATTCTCTAGACCAGAGTCATTTACATATAGGGTTCTATACTTGGTGGTAAGAACATGTAGCCAATAGGATGAAATATAGTGTCATAAAAGCATCCACAACAACATCCAGAAATGCAGATATAATGAAGTACTGAAGAATGCTCATTCTATAGCGATTGACTCATTTCTATCACGTGTTCCATACTCAGTAATGGGGGCCATAATGCCTACAGTGATATAATATGCCAAGTAAGTAGCTAACATATAATGAACCTATCATGGTATAAGAAAAGACATTCAATAAGATCAAGCTCACATGTGCTTCCCATGCTTTAATATTGAAACAGTTGGTCGGCTTGATATTCAATTTTTCTTCATTGGTTTGCACTCAGTTGCTGGCAGCTAAGAAGGTTATTACAAGACTTAATTTTCTGTTTAATTACAATTATATTCATAAATAAAAAGAGAATATGATGCCAGACACAGGATAAAGGGAACTTCGTATGTGTTCACTTTCACATGTTCTCCATTTGGACAGAAAACACGGAAGAGCTGATTGATTAGTAATAAAATGAAATCCACAAACACTACTTCATATTTAACTTTACAAATTAATTCATGTGTAATAAAAATAAGATTCAGCTAGTGAAGCATGTTACTTAACATTCATAAACATTCGCATTAAGTGAACATTTCAATTACCACTATAGGATCTGAATCTCTCGACTTCGCAAGGACAACCCAGGATGGTACGGTAACACAGTAACTCCAACCTGTGTGAGGATCATGAGGCCAAACAGTTTCGCTCCCCGCCTGTGAAGTATGTGTATGATGTCAATACAAATCATAATCTTGATAGGAGTGTCGTTTGGTAACAGGTAAAAGAACCCCAGCAATAAAAATGAGTCAATCATTGAAATAGAGCAATCTAATTTTTAACTCAGACGAATATTTTATAAAAAAATCATTTAGTGAGTAAGAAGCTACAGGTTTAATAAGGATAATGCATCAAAAATTTCGAATAAAACTAAGAAAAATCACTTGAATTTGAAGTAATAATCAGCCCCAATATATTGGCCTTTCACTTGTTGTCAGGACCCTTTCACTTAAGAAGCTGAGCTCAAGTTCTCAATCAGAATTTCTTGACCCAATTTGCAGTCAAATTCAGAATTTCCAAGTTGAATAGTTAACTCAATTGTCACAAATCACAAATCAGATTAAACTACCACAGAACTGAAGACTGGAAAATTTTCGATTTGAGTTTTCCGCTGTACTTGAAAAAGGATCATACCAAATATTTCACCTGAAGTTGAATTGCTATTGTAGACCAAAAATCATTTTCCATTGTCAATAAGTGGCGTGAAAATCGAGGTTTTACACTCGTCAAGCAAACCTTGAAGATTAAAGAGCTGATCACATAGTATAATATTATCGATCCACATTCTTTGAAATGAAATACGAGTATGTTAACATATCACAAAGTCGAGCAATAAAAGATCAAAATAAGAAATCCAAATTTATTGGAAGCCCAAATACATCCCGATAGATCGATCGGCAATCAAATAAAACCCAAATTCATCGGAAATTAAAATGGAAATTTACCAATCAAGAACAAGAATTAATCAAAACACATACCCAGTTACGAGGGGGAGGACTCCAATCCATACCCAAAGGCAGAGGCGAAGTCCCGTCGTGCCTGTGCTTCGGTGCACTCATCTCCCCACCCCTCGATGCTCCACACTTGCTCAAAAACTATGTCTTCTTTTAGTGCAGTTATCTAAATATAAACTATATGCAATACATATATAAGCAATAATCTGTACAATACAGTATGATTTTAGAGAGAGAAATAAGGTGTTGGTGAAGGATCGGTCGGTGAACAGGTGGAGGTGGTGGTGGTGGCGCGTGCCTATAAAGGGACACCTGACCTGAGTCGATGATTTCTCTCTTTACTCTAGTACCTACAGTAGAGATCTTCATATTCCTCTAAAAGCGTTGGAGATAAATAGCGATTTCTATTCCAATTGCGGGCCCGGGGGTGGGGGCGTGGGGATCAATAGAGGAAACCGGATAGGCAATAGGCACGCTCTAACCCAACCGGCTTAACCACGACCGAGACCAGATTAGGGATGGCAAAATGGTCGAGTAGCTCGTCGGCTGGTTTGTCAAAGCTCGGCCCATAGACAGCTTGGACTCATTTCGGGACGAGCTGGAGCTGAGCAACTTACGAACGTGCCCATAAGCCTAAGTTTAACAAGGCTTGTACAAAATATGAACAAAAAAGTCAAAAAATAGAAATCAAGATCGTGGGCTAAGCTCGTGAGCTCACGAGCATGCTTGAACGAGCCTGAGCACAAGCCGAGTTCATGCGTAGATGGGCCAAGTCAGCTCGGCCCCCGACCCATTGCCAGCACTAGATCATACTAGATTGGGTCCGAACAATAATCAATAATAAGAATTTTAGAAGGAGTTTTGCTATGTGTACAATGAGCACCCTCGTGTACAGCCCTCCTCACAGTGACGGAGTCAACAACTTTTTTTATTGGGCGTAGGCCTCCTATTGTGAGGTGGTTGTACATAGAGTGTCAATTTCAGTGTACAAATAGCAAAACTCTTTTAGAAGTATAATTGAAAATTATTCATCAGTCTAGGCCTGGGCGCGGTTTGGTTTCGGTCGGTTTCGACCCCAACCCGAAACCAAAACCATTTTAATCGATTTGGGTAAATTTCAACACAAACCGACCCAATCTAACTCTTAAACCAAACCTTTGGTTTGGTTCGGTTAGTCGATTTGAGTTTTTTTTCAAATTGAATATAAAAAAAAAACTCTCGAGTTTTAGCTCACTTGTAATACATATAATTTTGTTTTTGATTTATACAACTTTTTTATTTGAATTATAACATATAGCAACCAAAAACATATTTGAAATTTCAGTTTTCAAAGAATGAAAATAATTATCGCAACCTGCATTTTCACAATATCTAAACTTTAATTAACGAATCAAAACATAATATGTAATTAAAAAAATTCAATATTGTAACTAATCCATAATCATAAATCCATAATCATTATCTCAACATGCATTTTCAGAAGGCGAATTTATTAAAAGTAAAACTTGCTATATAAATTTTTTTTAACTAAAAACAAAGTCTACCAAACGAAACAGAAAACGATGTTTATAAAGAATATAAAATAATATTAATGTTTTCTTGAAAGTGTCATCATAAAACAAAATGTTTATATAGTATTCAACAAGACTACTTAAAGAAACAGTTTGAACACCTCCACATTCTGGAGGACATCATTAAACTTTTGATTTTAATTTTTCTTTTTTCAAAAAAATAAAAATAAAATGAAAACATGTGTAAGTAGGTTGGGTCGGTTAACCAGTGGTTTAAGGCTTTAAACCATGACCAAACCGAACCACCGTCATTTTGTTTAAAATAAAATAAAACCAAACCAAACCAATAACTATGTTAAACCGATCCGAGTCGGTTTGGTTTGGTCGGTTTTTCGATTTTTTTACCCCCCTCTATTCATCACACAAATAATGAAATTGTTCATATTATTTAAACGTCTCTTTTTTTCATAGTAATAGCATTTTTCAAAGATTCTTTATTTATAAAGATGAGACATTTTTAAATTTAGATACTCAAAATTTTTATGTACTACAATAATTCTCTATTTTAACATTCATTTTGCTTTCCTCAAGAAAGATTTATTGATTTCTCCTCATATTTTATTTAACATAATTTTTTATATGTTAATGATCATTAATTTAAATGTAATTTGAATAGTATAAGAAGTAGAGTGCTGAAATCTGTAACTTATTAAATGCAATCAGTGTACATAAAAAATAGATAGTGAATTTGGCTATCTAAATTTGAAGAATCAAACTCACTTTCTATTTTAAAAATTTAAAGTAGAGAAACTCTTGGAGCTTAACATACAATGTTCATCTAAATTTTTAAAAAAAATTTTGGAACTTCTATTTTGTACTTTATAAATTGTCTAAATTAGTCCTTGTATTTTATCTTATTACGATTTGAGCCCTATTATTTTTCAAATTTATTTTCAACTAGATATTTTTCCAACAAAATAATTTTATACGTAAATTCAAAATTTTTCTTAGTTTTAAACCACATATTCACCTAAGAAATCACTATTACAAAACCTATTCTTCCTAAAAAATGGGGTTCAAACAAACCTTAGATAAAGTTGCATTTCACTTTGTACGAGGAGAAAATCACAAGGTGGTTATTTGATAATTAAAAATGAGCATAGCATTTTACTTTTTAGTACCTGATAAATCATATGCCTATTTTTTAACATACAATGTTCTATTGTAATGATAACAAAAATTATGTTGGAAACAACAAGTATGAAGAAGAAACTAAGCCCCTATTTAGTAGAAATTTTGTGAAAAATGATTTTTTTTTTTTTTTTTTTTTTTGGGAAAATGCTTGGTTAAAAGTAAGAAAAAATTATAAGTCCACATACAAAATTATTTTAGTGAGAGACTTTATAATTGAAATGAACTTAGCAAAAACTGAGTTTTTTCATTAATTATTAGTGATGAGAACACTGAGAGTGCATACATAAATTCTATGTGCTCATATGTGCTATGCAACTTGCTTAGCACTTTCATGATCTTGAACTTATCATTTTCACGAACTTTTAAGAGAGAAATTCCAACTTTCAATTCAGTGGCACTGTGGAAGTACTATCTTTGTTATATTTGAATATACTTATACTAATGCACTTCATTAAGAGTTTAACAAACTCGACCTTTAAACAATCAAGACCAACGCTAATCTAGGATATGTAATTGTTTTACAAAGTGCTAAAAAATTATTCACTTATCAAAAGACTTATTGTTACTCTTTGAACCAAAAAATATACTTTCTCATATATTTAGGTAGGAATTCCACTACGATGGATCATTAATTAAAGAATTTTAACATCAATCTACTCAATATTGATCGTACTAATTCTATTGCGAGAGGTTTTGCAAACGGATTAGTTAAGTTTTCCCTTGACTTTACGTCATAGAAATTATCCCACTTTAATCAACTTCCTCACATAATAATATCTTTATGCTCATATATCTAAATTTCTCAATTATACATTTCATTGTATGCCTATAGTTAGAGTGGCTTCACTACTACACAAGATAGATATAGAAGATGTGCTCTTCGTTCTCAAAGGAATTTCTTAAAGAAGATCCCTCTTTCTCGATTTCAGCTAATGCTACAAACTCACATTTTGTAGTGTTCAACGCATGTTTTTTTCTTAGACCTTCAAGAATTTGCACCTCCTCCATTCAACCTGAGATAAATTTATTTTTCTCATGCACTAGATATCCAACAAGTATCGGTATATCCTTTTAAGATAGCTGGAAATTTTTTATATTGTAGACCAAAGTTTTTTCTTTAGACAACCAAGAACCCAACCAATGGCCTTTCAATGTTCCTCACATAGGTTGTTAGTAAATCGACTAAGTTTACTAAATACAAATGATATATCTAGCCTTATACACTACAATGCATAAATTAGATTACCAATAACACTTACATACTGAAGTGTGTCAATTGCTCTTCCATTATTATTTACAGGTTTTATACTTTGATCAAATGTAGTATTTTCCATCATATTCAAATGTTTAAACTTATTCACCACATTTTCAATATAATGTGATTGACTTAATAAGTAAACTCCACTCTTTTTGTTGCTTTGATACCTAAAAGGGTATCCTCTCGTCCAAGTTCTTTCAACGTTAATGTGGAAGATATAAACCTCTTCATTTCATTCAACCATGTCACGTGATTACATATGATCAACATGTCATCAATACATAGGCATATAAATAAAACGTAAGTGTTCAAATAAAATGATTAGTAAGTTTTTAGAAGAAATAATACTAGGTACCACGAAATGAGTGGTTAATAAATGGGTAATAGTTATGAATGTATGATTAAAATTAATATTTGACTTTGAATAAATAGAAAAAAAAAAAATTTTAGTAATTTTTAGCCCTTTGTTTGAAGGCCATTATTTGGGATTTTTGATGTTTTATATGATGAGTTTTTGAAGAATGTATGGTTATAAAGCGAAAATTTTTGAATTTACATGCAAAATATTTGATTGTTTAAATGTGTGGTTGAAAAAAGAGTTTTGAATAAATGATGTCAAATAGGGGGCTTAATATTTGACAAACAAAGGCAACATATTCATCACATACTTTATAAAATAAAAGTTTATCTACCGTATTATAAATGAAACAAAAAAGAAAAAAAAAATTTAAAATTGCTAAATCAAAATTTTCATGTCATTTTTAGATTCTCGTTTTAAATTATGTAATGATTTCATTAATTTGTATATTTTATATTCATTATGGGTAAAAGAAACCCTTAATTTGTAGACACCTTCATCAAGATGCTCGTTTAAGAACGCAATTTTAACATTCATTCGATAAACATGCAAATTATAAATACAAGCCAAAGCGAATAGAATTATAATCAAAATTATAGCATATATCAAAATAGACCGTTCATTCTTTTTGTTGATAATAATATCCATTTCCTAATATTAATCTAGTTTTAAAGATGTTAAGAGTGCCATCAAAATGATACTTCTCACTAAACACCCACATATAAGGGGAAAACTATTTGTACATAATGGTTTTCCCAGATTTTGAACAGATCACACATGGGGT